GACTTCAAGCAAGTCGAGCTACCCGCTTGCACCGCCTTGGTGAGAAAGCGTTCGTGCAGCCCGCAGGTGTGCCCTCTCACATTGTAGGAGCTTGCCCGGGACGCGTGCCCCATCAGCTGTACGCCTCAAAGCATTGCGACTACAGGAACCTGAGGAAGAGACTACGACTACACGCTGGCCTCTTTGGCGGGCTCCTGCGTCCGTCCATGCGGTGGCACGGAGAATAATCGCTTCCCGGATTTCAAAGTCACAGAGCTTGAGCACGGGCTCCAGGCGGCACACACTGGGCTGGGTAAGCTTCACGAGCTCCACCAATTTCTTCCAAAAGCTGATGAAGACGTGATCTCCGTCGAGATCTCCACCTACAGCAACATGTCATGCGCAACACTTCAGCAATGCGTCGACCGGAGAAGACTTGAACATCCACATTCCATACAATTTGACAACATCACGCCGCACCTGCCATGAGAGTGTTTCCCTCTCCCTTGTCACTGTAGGTGATAGCATTATCAGCCACAGCAACGAAGGGAGGTGGTGCCACAGCGTCATAAATTTGCAAGTCCGTGATGCTGTAGCAAGGGTAGCGCCATGCCTTAGCAACTGCACTGAATTTGCAAAGTCCGCTTCGCACGCTGGCAGGGCACGAGTCCGACCATGCCATACACAACACATCACATGTGCTCCCGTGCTATTCATATCAGTGACGACGAGCGTGCCGGTGAGAGCGACGCCGCCCCGCAGCACGTAGACTTGTCTAGATGCCAGCAGCGAGGTTGTTTCGCTGCATGCGATGAGAGTGGCCGCCCGGTCCGGCCTCAACGTACCACACCAACGTGGACCTATACACACACGTACGCATGCACGCACACAGCAAGTCCTTCTCGCATTCGCCAGGTAGAACGACAGCACAGTCTTGCATTGTCAGAGAATTACCGAGACGTCTCCCGGCCAAACCGGCAAGTTAACTTGCGACAATGAACTTACAGGTTCCGTAGAGCGCAGCTGACATGTCCATGTATATACTGTCTGGAACTCGCTCCCTTTTCTGGAAAAGGGGGGCCATGCCAATACGTATTGTTCCCTTAATCATCCCATGGCCATACAGTACGAGCAAGACCAAGCCCGAACGATGCAAGGCGTCTCGCCGCTGCTAAGCTCGCGACATGAGCAGCTTCAGCTTCCCGCCGCGAAGCTTGGCACTCTGCGAACAGAAGGACGTCAGCCCGCAGGATAGCGCCATACGAGTTCCTCTTCGCCAGCTTAGCTCGGATGAGCCCCAGCATTCTCGTTGCAGTGGCGCTAAGTCGGTTGGCTCCTACGGCTGCAAGGTATGCCGGCTTCCATAGGAACAGCTGACCGCAGAGACCCTTTCAAGAGGAATACCGCACGGCGCCTCGTCTTCGCATGGTCCCATTCGGACACTCCCGGTAGACAGACGTGGCGGTGGAGCAGCTGCACAGCCTTTCACCAACACAAGATCATTTGGATGACGTTCGGGTCCGTCCAGCTGCCAGCATCTGCTCACCAAGGAAGTCTTGACAAAATCGCGAGTCTCTTCCAGCATTTCCTGCCAAGTTAAGCAGAGACAGGCTCAGCAAGGTTGTCACGACGGAAGGTGAGGGTGATACCCTGAGCACATGAACTTGACCAGACTCCTCCAGCTTCTTTTCGACATCACGTCGCTGTTGCTCGTCTTCTACGCATGCCACACGAAGCTGCAGCATTGCCAGCACGAAGTACGACAACCCTGCAGAAGCGAGCAGGGCATCTTATTGTTTTTTTTTGCGGCGTATGACATTCAACATGTTAGCACAATATTCGCCTATAGCGGAACCGACTGGCCAGGCACCTGGTGTCTTCATGGGCCTGGTCGTGGTGCGCACGACATCGATACCATACCCAAGATCGTCGCGCTTTCCCTGTTTCCGAGCTTTGATGGATGCGAAGGGTAGCCGCATTTTCTTGCCCAGAAGTGGGTCGATGCAAAGGTTGCCCTTCACCTCGCAGCGCAGAAGCCGTTGGACGTAACTTACGGCTTGCGGCGAGCACCAATGGCCGAACATGCTTTGATCTGACCGAGGGGCTAAGACCGTCTCGTCAGATGCCGGCAAGTAGAGCATGCCTCGAAACTGTGTGATGGCATAGACGTACCGTTGATTTCGCCATCGCATTTCATGGCCATCCAATGCGCAGACTCCGAGCTCTTGCGCAGCTTCTATGCCCAGCTCGGCTTGGCCATCTTTTGCGTCCACACCCAGCTGCCACGGGGATGCAATGAATCGGTGACCGAGTAGACACATGGCTCAACCAATTACTTTAAATTACGAATCCACAGACTCCGCAGATTTTACTTCCGACCTGGTTCACAAAAGTTTCCTTCGGCGGCGCTTCAATGTCGATATCTGGCTTCCACCACTTTGTGGTAGTTGGGCACAGCAGCAGAGACATGCGGCTGTAGGCCTTCTCCACGGATAGCGCTGCTTCCAGTAGCCACCTTCCACGGTGCAGTGTTCAGGTTCAAGTCCAATATACAAGTCCAAACCCGGTCGCGCCCCCGCCTACCCGAAGGCGACTCCTCCAGACGCTTGGTGCAGTAGAAAGCCTTTCCATTCTCCCTTGTCGTAAGCAGTTTCAGTTCCGCCGGCCAACCTAATCCAGGAACACACTAACAGCGACAGATGCAGTCTCACTTTTTGACGTCTTATCAGAACAGGAAGAATAAGCGTCACAGAATGGAGAGACGGAGCGGGGGACAGAGATGATGGACAGAGAGCAAAGGAGAGAAGGGGCAAAAGAGTGAGGTGGAGAGAATAAGAGGACACAACAGAGAAAGCGCGAGGGAGGAAGTGTGAGACAGAGAGTGAGAGAGAACAAAACTGAGAAGGACACAAAGAAAGAGAGGAACAAAGGACAGAAAAGGTAACAAGAACAACATGGAAAAGTTTCAGCGGGTCATGAACAGGACACCAGATGGATAAGAGAGTACATACCCAGCACTTCCGTCATAGCTGATTCAGGCAGCTCTGAGTGGGGACGAGGCTTCGCACGACTGTGGGCTTGTTGCGCAGCTGTCCAAAACAGCAGAGGTAGATCGGCGCTGAGAGCTCTCTGCTGAGTCTGCTAGGCGGATGCACATTCAAAATGACAGCGCGCTCGTTCGGGCGCAGCAGTTCCTCCACAGATCGAGTTAATGCTGGCATCGTGTCAACCTATTCATGGTTTTGCTTGAGTTCCACCCATAAGGGTCGAGACCACTGCGCTGCGACAACTACGTGCTGCAAGATCTCACATCAGAAACGTCCTCGGTCTCGATGTCCATGCCGTTCGTGCTCCCACTGGATGAACTACTGGTGGAGCTGCTACTGCTGCTGTCACTGCCGGTGTCGCTGCCACTGCTACTTGTCTCACTGTCACTCGACCCACCAGTCGTGTCAGCCGATTCGCTGGCCGCTGAATCCTTGGATCCACGCTGTCTACGATTAAGGCAATTCCAGATCACACCCCACCATCCGTCAATGCATACCTCATGCAACAAGGGATATGAAACTGTGCAGTGGATCCACCTGTTCCCTAAACCTGTTCTTACACATTATGCTGTCCGCGGCCAGGATTCACTGTCGCTGTCGTGACCGTCAGCTCCTAGTCGCCCCCCCCCAGCCTGAGCAAGGTCTCTCTATTACAGGGCTTCAGCTAAGCGGAAGTCAAATGCTCCCTGAAAGAGTACACGCAGGAACTCCTCCTGAAGCGGTATACCTACTTTCCGCGACCAATGCGATGCATCGTCACCCTCCCACACCGGCAGCTATTCAAACAGCCCAGAACGAAAACCGAGTCGAGCCAATCCTGAAACTCCTACTGGCACCGCCTGCAGCATCTGATGGTCTTCCTCAGACTCCCGCTCATCGGATTCGCCGCCAACCTCAAGGGATGGCAGTGCATCGCCAGGCTTCTGCCCCTCTACGGCCGAGAGCTTAGAAAAACACGAATGATCCATCGAGCATCCGTGTAGACATAGACTCCAGCACTCGCGAGAATTCGCCGGCGACGATCTTCCCGAAGTGACATGAACTTGTTCAGCTTGTCTTTTAGAGCCTTAAGATTCTAGGATAACAGTGCGACCACACGAATGATCCTCCACATCCAACCCTGTACAGCGAAGGCCCGGGCACAGTCCTTCATGTCCAGGGTT